CCGCGGGCAGCGCCCGTTCCGCCGGGGCCGTGTGAGGCGGCAGCGCCCCCCGCGGGCGGGAAGGCGCCCGGCGGGTCCGGGATGCCGGGACGAGCCCGAGTGSCCTCCCCGCCTGCCGCCCGCTCCCTCCCGCGGGAATCGGGCCGCTGTGCCCCCCGCCCTCTTCGCCAGGGACAGCTGAGCACCGGAGCGAACCCAGCCGCGGGCGCTGCGCTGCTCGGGGGCTGCGCTGCGTGATGGACACGGAGAGGCTGAAGCGCTCGTTCCGCTCGGAMAAAGAAGGCCGGGAGGAAATGTGCTGCGTTTGGCTACTTGGAGGAAATTTTAGAGAAAGCTGAGCCGAGCTCAACACAATGGAAAAGAAGCCCTACGCTGTAGCTCCCATTTCTTTCTATACAGATTATTTCATAACCTATAATTAATTAATTMTATTCATTCTATAGTATTTCATAATCACAGATTATTTCACTTTACCTCTATTCCTACTTTTCTAAATCCAAGTACCAAGCAAACCCTTTTTATAGCTGGAAAAAGTAACTGAAAAAGGAAACGGAAAWTGAAGTATTTTAACATCCTGTTTATTGAATAAAAAGATAAAAAGCTCTGATCCTCAGGATGCTGATGAGGTCAGTTGGTAAGAGACTTTTCTTGCTCATGTCCCAGTGCTTGCTTTCAGCCTATCTTGTATAAAAGATTTTACTTGGACCTTTTTCCAGCAGGCCCTTTTTCCCCTCTGTATCTGGCTGGTTTCCTCATTTTCTCATCTTCCTCAGCACAGCACCACCATCTGTAGCCCAGAGCAGACATCTGCAGTATAAAGTCGAAAAATGCTGGAAATGGCCTTACAGCACATGACCAGAAAATCTGAGAGACTGAGAAAACACAGCACCAACCAAGCATGGTAGACATCAAAAAACTGCGGCAACTACTAGAAATTAAGTTTTGGGAGAAGAGCTAAGTGAATTAAGTTTAGGGAGATGAGTGACAAACATAGCCCAGAATATCTTAAATGAGGGGACTGAGGTGGGAAGKTTCTACATAGATGCTGTGTGAATCGGGCAATCGTATCCAGAAGAAAGCACTAAAAAAAAAAAAAGGTCCAAATTGCCTATAACAAAAAAACGTGGMGGCGTCTATAGGGAGGAACAATTTTTTCAAATCAAAACTTCAAAAACAATATAAATAGCACAAATAATGTGCAGAGACCTAGAGGTAACACTTAAATGCTATTGGTATGGAAACATTGAAAACTAGTGTCTGTCTTCCTAGATAGGCCCCTAAAATTATTTTGGATTTGGAATGCTTATGGAGACTTCCGTAGTGAGAATAACTGTATGAGTTGCAGTATCCTATAAATTAGTAATGACTTTGTGGGCACCTAATTTCAACTAGGTTATCAATTTTTGGTCATTATTTCTATGGATTAAACTAAAGGTAAACTTAAAAGAGTTCTTTGCAAATTCTGCCATGTCCTGTGGAATTTGATAGAGAACTTCCAGTATAGATGTTCTTCTGTAGTTTCATTTTACTAACCATTACTGCTTCTTTTTTTTTTTTTTAATAGGCATTGCTTTCTCTTGCATTGCTCTTTTGCTTTTTACTCACTCCAGTGAGCAACCACTGAAGTCTAAAAATTTACAATTAAGATGCTAACAGTTCTTTACTGTATTGCTGATCATTTTAACAGAAACATCCAGTAGATGGCAAAGCCAGTGTATTCCACTGGCTTACCATATCTCAGAAGCCTCTGCTTCCAAAGGCTCTTTTCCTCAAGCTTTCAAATAATCTAAAAATTAAGTCATTRCATGAAATAGATGTACAAGAAACTGACGTATTGAAAAAGGATCACATTGCAGTGCAGTACTGATTCACAGGATTACATTTTACAGTGAATAAAACAAAATCTGAGACTTACAAGAGTATCTCAGAATTTTTGTTAGGATGCAGTTTAAATTCAACTAGAGCTACACATGCTGCAGTAGCCAGGATTACAGGTCTCCACGCTTTTGCTAGGCTCCTGTGCGTACCAACTGCAGCAGTTACTGAGCACTTGGATTTTAACCCATAGAGTTAAGGTCCCCCATAGCTGTAGCTTGCATACTTTCTTGGTGAGGTGGCAAAATGATCCTAATCCTCAGAAAAATGTTTGCTTAGTGTGGATTGGCTACTCAATAACTTGGTGACACACAATCAGTAGGAACGCTTTGTTCAGTTCAGGTTATCTGAAAAATGATACAGCAGAAACTCCCTGAAAAATCAGAAGTGAAATTTGTAATTGAGACATAAGGAAGTTTCTCCCTTGGAGAAGGAAAAGAGAGAGACTCAAACTGAGAGAGTAAATGGGTTATATATATTGACTCTTMTATGCATGAACAGGAGAGACAAAGAAAGGACAATGTATTTGAAACTAATGCATGTTTGTACTAGTCCTCCCCCCCAGTACTCATAACCACTAACAGAAGAGAAATAGTTGGGTTTGTTCTTAGTGAGCCATCGACTTAGAAGTTGAAAAGAGAGCACTGTGTGCTCGCATGTATTTTTTAAATTTTTGTGTTATGAAAAGCTGAATGAGAGCAATGCAGAGCTAGAATTTTTAACCTGTTTTACACATACAGAATCCATGAATGATATGCCTTTGACATTTTCTTCTAATACATTTCTATTAAATTCTTCTAATACATTCTTCTAATAAATTTCTTCTTCTTTCTGGATTCTTCATGGAAAAATTCCATTTTGAAAAATTGGATATCAGTTATTTGACATGGGAACAAAAAGACGTTCTGCAGTGCTTTTGCCCRAATGAATGGCACAAATTCACGGTAATCTTTTGTTTCTTCAGTAGGTGGATGCTGACCTGGGCTGGTCACTCCAGGTAAGTTATGAATCTAATGTAAGAGTCTAGCTGTATGGCTTGGTGTGAGGTTCTTTTTYAAAAAGTTGATACACTATATGCTGATTCTGTACATGCACTAGACTATACAGTTAGATCTTTGTGTTTGTTATCAAAAGAAAAACAAATGGAAGTAAATTTTGGTACTGCTTAGGTCAAGATAAGAAGCYGGGAGAATTAACTTTAATCAGTGCAGTGGGATTTATTTTGTTCACTCATTAATGAATGAAGATAGAGATACCTAAAATATGGCATACATTGGAAATTCAAAGTTCAAGCAGAATTAAATACTTTATAAGCTATGAACTGGGCCATAAGATCTGTAATAGTGTATCTATATGCTATATGCACATTGTTTGTGTGACAAGAGTGAGGAATTTTTTTATTATTTTAAAGATTTGTTGTTGATCTTTCAGCAGCAGGCATTAGACTCAGTTCTCATGGGGAAAAAAAAAAGGTCTCATGACCCCCTAAAGTCTTCTCTTATTGAAAAACTGCTTTGTAATTTCTGGAGGATGCTCTTGTGAAAGTCCATGATCATAAAAAGAGACACATTTTCAGCTAGCACAGTGAGTTCTGATTAAAAAGGCAAAATCTATGCAGCTGATGTTGCATTCATAGAATCACAGAGTGGTTGCATTCATAGAATCAGAGTGGACCATGATGAAGACTTATAAGCCTGATTTTCAGATACCAACTCAGACACAATTTTATTGCTAATTATAACTCTCCAAGGCAAGCAATGTCAGCCTACCCTGGAGGAATACGTAAGGTGGGGCTCTGGCAGGCACAGCTTGTCAGATGTGAGGCAGTCAAGCACACAAGCCAAAACTTAATACTCAGGCATCAAATTACAGATAAAGTTCATAAGCAGGAGTCATGGAGGCATTTATACATAAAGATATAGAAAGATGTTGGAAATTCTTTGGAAATTCAGGCTGCCACTTTCCAAAATGGAAATGGATGGAGCCTTTTTTTTTTTGACACAGACAGGAAAAAAAACCCTAGGAGTGGAAGTTGCTGRGCCCAATTCTCAGAGGTGGTTAAGCTATTTTAAAACAATTTTTGGACTTAAGGTTATTAAATAGCTTTCAGAATCTAGATATCAATGCCTTCTAGGCAAGAAACTATTTTTAATAGTATTCAAAGGGTTGATGATGAAATCATATTTAATAGTCTAAAGAAATTTATTGTGAGATACTTTATACTTTTGTATGACATAGAAGATACATTATTTAGCTTATTTTTATGTTAAATATTAAATAAAAAGGAAAATAAACAGATGGGTGAAAAGCAGTAACAGCAGTGAGATAAGGTAGGTACATCATGATCAAATAGCATCTGCAGCTTGATCTAAAAAGGCAATTCATTATTAAAAAAGGAACATACAAGATTTGAATTTCTAGTACAATTATTTTAAACTATCTGTGTGAAAATGCTGTTGAAAATGCAGATAGTTAGAAAAGATGTTTGCACACAAATGAAAAGATCA